CCTTCTCCTGAGATGACCTACCTCAAATGTATCTCCATGGCAACATGCCTCTTTGTGGCTCTTTCCTCCCTTTTTCCCTTGCTTTCATCACAGATTTTAGAATTCTTTAATACTGGTAGCCAGATTTTGTTGACTTTCATGGTTTCTTCCTTTCTGTTGAAATTGTCCACATGCTTGCCAATTTCAGTGGCTTATTTTTAAAAAAACCCTCTAAAATCGTAACAGTAAGTAAAGACAGAAGAGCTCCAGACAAGAAACAAGCAAGGACAGCTAATCACCTCTCAACAAAGGATTCCCCCAGGCAGTAAGAAGCCACACCTTGAAAACTGCTAGGCCACTCAATGCCTACCTCCAACAGAGAAGAGTTATTTCTCCCACCCTGGACATTCCACAGATATATAAACTCCATTTTTCTATGTATTGCGGAAGGCTTTCATGGCCGGAATCACTGGGTTGTTGTAGGTTTTTCAGGCTATATGGCCATGTTCTAGAGGCATTCTGTCCTGACGTTTCGCCTGCATCTATAGCAAGCATCCTCAGAGGTTGTGAGGATGCTCGCAACATCAGGATGCTTGCCATAGATGCAGGCGAAACGTCAGGAGAACATGGCCATATAGCCCGAAAAACCTACAACAATCCATTTTTCTAGTTTCCAATAGACCTCACAACCTCTGAAGATGCCTGTCATAGACGCAGGCGAAACGTCAGGAGAGAATGCGTCTAGAACACGGCCATACAGCCAGGAAAACTTATAGCAACTCTGCGATTCTGGCCATGAAAGCCTTAACAAAGCTACAGTTGGTCTTAGCAAGCATCCGCCAAGCCCCCTCTCGCCCGCCCCTTCCCTTCCCTTCCCTTCCCAGACAGCCAGCTTGCAAAAGATGGTGGCGGACAATAAGGGCACCAGCCAATAGGAGCTCGCGCCGCCGCATCTGCCGGCCGGCCGGAGATCCAATGCGCGCGCCCCGCAACGCCCCCTCCCCGGGGAGATTCTTTTTTTCGAAGAGCTCGGGTATGCACTTGGCCAATAGGCTCTCGGGGGCGTGGCCCCGGTCAGGGAGGCGGCGAATGAGGGTCCGAGGCGGGCGTGGGCGTGTCCTCTGCCTGGGGCGCTTGGATGGTGGTGCTCAGGCGGCAGAAGCGCGGCGCCTGCTGCTCTTGAGGGAAGGCGAGGCTGCGCGGGGCGCCGGGGTTGGCCATGGCCGAGGTCAACGGTGTGCCGTCCTGCCGGCGCTTCACCTGGGAGGAGATCAAGCCCCGCTCGGGGAGGTCGGAGGAGCGGTGGCTGGTCATCGAGCGGAAGGTCTACGACATCAGCCAGTTCCACAAGCGGCACCCGGGGGGATCCCGCGTGATCAGCCACTATGCGGGGCAGGACGCCACGGTGAGCCACGGGCAGAGCTGGGGCTGCAAGGCGGCCACCCCCTTCGAATAGGAGGGAGGGGCCCTTTTGCACATAGAAATAGAGACTTAGGATTGCAATTCCCAACACCCTCTGCAGGATTCTGGGACTTGCAATACCTACAAGTCATTCCTCCCTAATTTGGAGAAGGGGGCGTTGCTAAGCACAGTACCCGGGGCTGCAAGATAATGTACCTTTTGCAGAACTGCTAATGCAATGCTTTGGTCCTCCAGATGTTTAGGACCAACTCCCAAAGCCCCTGCCAGCTTGGTTGAATGACAGCTGAAGCCCTGGAGGAGCAAAGTTTAGGATCCATTAGAGTAGTCCAGTGGACTCCAAGCTTTGGTCCTCCCAGTCTTTGACAACTCCAGCTGTCAGGATTTCACGCAGGTCCTATCTACACTGCCATATAATACAGCTTCACTACATTGAATTGTATTACATGTTAGTGTGAGCCAGGCATGGGCAAACTTTGGCCCTCCGGGTGTTTTGAACTTCAACTCTCACAATTCCTAGCAGCCTACTGGCTGCTAGGAATTGTGAGAGCTGAAGTCCAAAACACCCGGAGGGCCAAAGTTTGCCCATGCCTGGTGTAGGCGCATACAATCCAGTTCAAGACAGTTGTATAGCATGTAGGTGGAAGCCCAAAACATCAAAGCTTGGGACCCACTGGCCTAGGGGATTTACTATGCTTCTTAGGAAATAGATTTGGGTTTGCTTTGCGGGTCACAAATTCTCAGCCCCAGAAAACTCCATAAGTAGGAAAGGACTGAAAGACACACAGCAACAAAGCGCTCAATGGCTGGAAGTCACAAGATCAGGTTCTTCTGATCAAGAACCAGTTGTCCCACATGTAGGTCCCTGGAGCAGCCCGTGGACTTTTTCATAGAGTGTATCTAACCCTGGGTTAGAGTCTGTTGGGTTCATATATTGAAAGGTGATAGGATCTGAACATGTAGTGGAGTCTCCTTCTCCGGGGAGTTCGAAGCAGAGGCTGGGTGGCCATCTGTTAGTGGTGCTTTGATTGTGTATTCCTCTTTTTTCCCATGTCAGGAGTGACATGACAAACTGCAAGTTGTTTCTGGTGTGAGAGAATTGGCTGTCTGCAAGGACGTTGCCCAGGGAAGGCCCAGATGTTTTACCATCCTGTGGGAGGCTTCTCTCATGTGCCCACATGGGAAGCTGGAGCTGACCCCGCTCCCCAGGTTTGGCCCACCGACCTTTTGGTCAGCAGTCCTGCCAGCACAAGGGTTTAACCTATTGCACCATGGGGGGTGGGGGTGGGGGTCCTTGTGTATTCCTGCATGGTAGTGCGAAGTTGGGCTGGGTGGTCCTTGGGGGCTCTTCCAACTTTAGGGTTCTATGTATGATGGCCATCTGTTGGGAGTGCTTTGATTCTGGAGGTTTAAGCAGAGGCCTGGTGAGAGTGCTTGGATTGTGTGTTCCTGCATGATAGGGTTGGACTGGATGGCTTTGGGGTTTTTTTCCAACTCTACAATTCTATGTGCCCTTTTCTCCAATGTGTATCGAAACTTGTTGGAACTACAGAGTTTGGAAAGCTCTCTGCGCATACTTAGAAATGTTCCTTTGTTATTTCACCAAATGTAGGGCTGAATACTGGGGAGCACTGCTTCAAATCAAAGTAGTCCTTTCAATATGAATAGATAGGCCGCCATCCGATAGTATCATCCAGAGGTATTTTGTGTTAATTAGTCCCAACCAAACAGACTTTTCAGTCACATTTTGGAACAAGCACATTTTGATGTGATGTAAGCTGTCAACTCTAATTACATTGCCTGAGTTCATCGGGTTGCATGGGTTGCAGTTCATGAAAGCTTATGGCCTAGGTTTTTTTTGTTTGTTTGTTTTGTTTTGTTTTTTGTTATTTTGCATTGGACTATTTCATTTATTCTTGACAAATGTTGCTGGGTGACATAGGATGCATGTGTGTTTGGGCACATGTCTTGTAGATCTGCCCTTTTGTCTCAGAGAGCAACAAGTTTGGAAGTCTCAAGAACCACCTCAGCAGTGACTGAATGGCTCTGTGAGTCACGATGCACCTACACAGTAGAATGAATGCAGTTTGACAGCACTTTGACTGTTATGGCTCCATGCTGAGGAATCCTGGGAGTTGTAGTTTGGTGAGACACTAGTACCCTTTGGCAGAAAAGGCTAAATACTTGGTAAAACCACACTTCCCATGATTATGTGGCATTGAGCCATGGCAATTAAAATGGTGCCAAACTGCATAAATTGTACAGTGTTGATGCATCCTTAGAGATACACTGAAACAGACTTGATACTTTATGAAAAAATAACATGTCTCAGTCACAGTGATTAAGGCATCTGTAAATGCAGTAGACATGTTCAGCGAGGCATTTGGCAATCTAGAAGCTCTCAAGAGTTGCTACAACCTGTTACAGTCCAAAATGTTCACTGATTTTACAAAGTAACAATAATTCTAATGTAACTGACTGCTCTTAATGCAACACTTAGGGAAAACCCATTCAAATAGAGGAGGAGCTTTGTTTGGCTCAATAGACTAATAAATATTTTTTATTTGGGTAATACATTCATACAAACTGTGTACAAACATTCCATAAGAGATATTAAAAGGCTACACAGTCCATGTAGAGCAGGCATGGGCAAACATTTTTTGCCTTGAGGCCACATTGCAGGGCTGGCTGGAAGGACTGGGCCAGGAGGGAGGATGGCCGGGCATACACTGGCCGAAGTGGGCACAGGAGGGGGAGAGCCCAGCAGAGAATGGGGCAAGAAGGGGGCAGGGCCTGGGTCATCCTCAGGTTGTACTTCCAGCATAAGGATGAGGCCGTTCGCCCCATCATTATGCCAGGAGAAAGGCGAGACATGCAGCAGGTGCCCTGATCCTCCTCCTGATTCTCCTCCCCCAATCCTCAAGCTGTCCTCTTGGCATTACGATGTGAGGAGGGCAAGACATGTGGTGGCTGAGAGGGCTTTCAGCTGCTGCGTGCCTACCTCCCCCATCTTTTTGGGCCACTGTGTCCTTATGCCAAGGAGACAGGGAAAATAAGGAGGGCCTGAGGTAAGCGCCCAGGGGGCCATATCTGGATAGATTGAGGATAAAACCTAGGGAAATGCAACAAACATAGATTTTCCTCTTTTTAAAAAATGCATAGGAAGAATTAAAGAGAAGGAGGTGAACTGTTTATTTGAAGAGTTATAATTGGAGTGTGTGAATATTGTATTGTTGATCTTAAAATGACTATATTTATAGAAATACATATAAGAAAGAGACTATAAATAATAAAAAAGAATGGGAATGTGGCCTGACAAAAAAGAGTAAAGAAAATAATCTGTCCCTATTAGCGACTTAGCAGGAAGGCAAAACAAAAGGCAGAGATGAGAAGCATTCCCACCTCATTTATTTATTTATTTATTTCCAGCATTTCTATCCCATCCTTCTCAACCCCCGAAAGGGGACTCAGGACGGCTTACATTGGCAACAATTTAATGCCATAAATACAAACAAACAACAATATATCAATAGTTTAAAATAATAAATAAATCATTAGGTTAAAAGCAATTAAAACATTTTTCAACACCATGAAGTCAGTCCAGTTAATTCATAATTTTGTCAATACCATTACCTCTCCTTTGTCAGAACTGGAGAAAAAAAGGCAAACCTCCCATCTTTCTGCCTTCCTCACCCTTTTCAACCTAAGTGGTGTTCAGCAATGATATGGAGGAACCTGAAGAAAATGGTGAGCTCACCATTTGGATGCTAGAATTGGAGTGGAAATGGTAGTAGCCATTTTTAATAAGTGCTAACTGCATAAACCTCTCTGCAGAGAAACTTTGCCAGCCATTTTTAATAGGTGCTCTGTCTACCACAATTAAATATGGCCACCAGAATTTCTCTGCAGAGAGGCTTATGCAGTAACCCCTTTAGAAGAATGACTGCTGCCATTCTGTTCCACCTTAGGTGCTAAAAAAGTTGGCTGGAGGAAAGAGGGAGCATCAGGCAAGGAAGGCAGGCATAATGGGGTGGAAGCTTCTCACCTCTGCCTCATGTCATTGACCCATATATGTCAACCCAGTTTGTGGGGGGTTGGTTTTGGTCAATTTTTGTTTGTTTTACATATATACATGAGTATATGTGATCTATTCAGTTTCTGGTTCTCAGACATTTGGGTTCAGGGTTTGTATGTCATTTGCATTGGGATCTGTGTAATAGATCTTGAGATTCCAGCATAAAACCTCATAAAATTTGCAATCCTGTTGTCTTGCCACTATTTTGCAGTTTGCATGAATGTCAAGCCACTTTCAATTTTGTTGTAATCATAAGAGTGCTATGCTCGAGAACATCCAAAACCATTACACTGAATTTCTGGACCACGAACAGTAAAGGCACTGTAATATTAGTTGTTATATAATGAAGAAAGACAGTAACATATGGTTCAATCACAAATTCAAGATTTTATGCCAAATATCTAGAAATATGTCTGGGATTTTGGTGTATATAGAGATGTGAATAGCCACCATCAATGATGTGCAGGGTCCGTGCAGACAAGCCCTATATCCCAGGATCTGATCCCAGGTTTTCTGTTTATCATAGATTATTTGGCAGTGGGGACTCATACAATCCAGGTTAAAGCAGAAAATCAGTTCCTGGGATATAGGATAGGGCCTGTTTGGAAGGACCCTCAGTCTTTTTATATCATGTTCAAATGGTGGATGTGTGTGTATACCCCCCCCCCCCAAAACCACACAATTTAATTTGTATCATGCCATTTCCTCCAATTTGTAAATCATCTTTTAGAAAAGTTAACTTTTCCAGGCTGTGTTTCTAAGATGATCAAGCAGTTAGAGGAAATCTGCCAAGCCTATTTGGCTCCTCATCTTGTATCTCCTCAACTGGGACAGCAGGACCATAGGAGGTAGCTGTGAGTTCTTCATGCATCACATTTAGATTATTATTCCTTGAGAAATGCAAGGGGATA